CTTGTTCCCTGTCGCGCCGGCTGCGCGGCCCAGACAGGCAAGTGCAGGGTGTGCGGGGATGGGGCTGCTCGTGGTCAACCCCGCCTGTGCTGCGGGGCTGGGGCAGGTGGGGCTGGGAGTGAGCGGGTGCACGGCAGCCAGACGGGAGCCGTGGCTTCCATCGCAGGTAGTTACATGCAGGCAGTAGGGCAGCCTCAAGAGGGAGGCAGCTGGCTCTGTGCGCCCCATCCCGTGCTCGCTGTCATGGCTGAGCCCAGTAAGGTGCTGCCCGTGCACCGGGGCCCATGCCAGGTTGGGCAGAACTCTCCACCCCGCCTGCGGCTGGGAGCAGGGGGATGCAGGCAGGGACATGATCAGGGCGGAGGATAGGGAGGCACCTCTGCTGCTTGCTCCCAGGAAAGGCAGCAAACCCATTTTTTCCTGAGCAGCCCCAACTGGGTCCCCCTGGGCCACCGCCTGTGCAGCTCCCTCCCCTGCAAGGTCCCCCAGTGCCCCAACCCCATCCAATCTCACAACTCCCCCCCTAAAAATTAAATTTAAACATGTAAATTAAATTTAAATCTGTAAATTATAGTTTGCAGGTCCACAGTATAAAAAGGTTGGGAACCTCTGCCATAGACCGTTGCCAGCCCACACCCCATGCTCCTACCACCCCACTCTGGGCCCCACAGGCCCCGCGGTCCTGCATGCCTGCTCACTTCCACTCCCTCGCCCCCCCTCCCCCTGCCACCACTTTCCTGCCCACCAGCCAGCCACTCAGCACCCCGTGGCTCCCATACCCACCATACCATACCCACACACACATCCCCACAAACCCCACACCCACCCAATACCCCCTGACACCCATGCACACCCTACACAATATACAAGTAAGACTGCGTTGTGAGTTATATGCAATGACTTCTACATATACAACACAAACACAAATCAGATCAAAAACATATTTAATTTTTAAAATTAAATTAAAATGTATTATTATGGGGGTCTGATTTTTAGTATATCATTTGGGGTTTTTTTTTCCTAAGATGGCAAACCCTCTTCCCCAAAGGAGTGCTTCCAGGGAAGGGGGAGGGACTTCTGGTGGCAAAGGTCAAAGGTTAAGGGGGTGGGACTTCCAGCCCCAAGATGACAACCAGGGGGCAGGGCTCCCGTCAAGGGGTGGAGCTGTCCATGCGGCCCTCCACAGCTTGCCAAAACTCGGTAAGCGGCCCTGCACCTGAAATAATTGCCTGCCCCTGTATAGGGCAAGTTCAGTGAGCAGGCTCTGGTCGCACAGGGGCACTGTGGACTTGAATTGAGTTGAGAGGCTCCTGGCCAGGAGGAAGGAGAGAAGTGCCCAGTCTTCCCACCCACATCTTTCCTGCCTTTGGAAACGTGCCCTGGGAGTTCTGCTGGGACCCCGACCCTCGGCGCCGTCTCGGCTCCAGCTGTGGAGACTTCCTTAGTTCTGACAGCTCTCGCTCTCTCCTGGGCTGCCCGAACCACTGGCTGTCTGCCAGGGAGTCGGGGCGGAGGGGACTTGCCTAGCTGAGCATCAATCTTCTTGGGAACAGAGGTATATGGCAGGCAGTGAGCTCTTCAAGGCAGCATTTATTGTTTTTACGTTCAGCAGCTTGTGCACCCAGGCTTTGGCTGCGACTGGGGCCCTTAGGAACTCGCAGAATATAGATCAGTGTTTCCCAGGGGCGAGTTCAGGATTTTACAAAGAGGGGTGGAAGAGCAGCAATCTGCTGCAGGGATGACTGCAGCCCCTGCCTCCTCCCCTTTGTCCACCCCCATGGGCCTGGCCAGACCACTCACGGGAGCAGCACTCAGGGACTTGTTTAAATCCCAAAGAGTAAGAATTCCCCCCCTCCCTTCCTGTCCTTTCCTCTCCCTGCTGAGAGGTACATTCCCTCCCCTCCACCCTGCTGCTCCCAGTGTCCCTGCTGTCCCAGGGGTGAGAGGAGCTCATGCCCCACTCCAGTCGGCCTGCCCAGAGGCTGGTGGGCAGGTTCCTCCTCCCTGCCTGCTCCCCCCTAGTGTTCCTTGACAGCCCAGGAGCAGATGCAGAGAGGAGGAACCTGCCTGCCCTCTCCCTACACCCCCAGCCACTGCCAGTGTCCTGGACTGAGCCCAACCCCCCACACAAGCTCCCCTCCACCCTGGGATAGTGGAGACACCATCAGCAGCAGGTGGGGGAGGGGACCTGCCTCTGAGCACAGAGAGGAAGGGAGCGGGGGAATTCTTACCTTCTTCCAGATTCCCTGGCTGGCGCTCCTGCCACATGGTCAGAGAGGAGATGAGGCTGCACCACTGCACCCCCTCGGGATTCACCCCTGTTTTTTCCAGTTCAAGGCACCCTTTATTAGAATCCAGGCATCCCTCAGAAAATGCCAGCTCTTAACTTCCACTCATTTTTCAACTATGGAAAAATAATAAAGCAATTATTTTATTGAAAAGAACTCAGAAAGACCACAACTGGTCAGATTGGTTTTGACACTCTAAATTCCTACTGGGAATCTCTTTGTGTATCTTGTGCCTTGCTTAGGTGTTTGCACACCCAAAAGTGCTAATATTGTATTGCACCCTGTGTCACCCTTAAAAGGATCTTGTGACACCCTAGTTGAAAGTCACCGTGTCACTTAGTCACTTAGTACAGATACTAAGTAATAACCTCTGCTTCACACACTAAGCTCTAGATTCCTGTGCATGTGTGCTCCCTGCGCCCCCAGCTTCATTTCAGAGTTCATTGCCTCAGCCAAAGGGCAGCAAATCATGTGTCCTTCACTCCATGCCCTGATGCCATCTGGGTACTTCTGTTCTTTGGCCCTTTGTGTGCATTTTCCTTATACTCCACTTAGGTATTGGAGTTATGCCCATCCCCGTGGCACCTGGTCACATCCATCTGCTACAGCCCCAGAAGAATTTTTGATGGGCATGTTACCTAAACTTAGTGTCAGAATTTAGGTGGTGTCACTGAAGTCATAAACAATGGCTTGGACAAAAATAGTCTGTTCTCTGAAGAAAGCATTTATTGAGTACAGCAGCTTACAATGTTAAGCATAAGACAAAGAAACAACAGAAAACTTTGCCTAAGTTAAGACTCAACAGAAACTTTGCCTAAGTCTTACATAGTCCTGAGGACAAAGTGTCTCCCTGCAGCCAGACATTCAGAAATCCCCTGGGTCTGCAGTTCTTTTTGGCAGGTGGGGGCAGAGGTCCACAGTCCTCGTTTTTGCTTGCTCTTGTATGAGTGATCTGCCCCACTTCCCTTCCTTGATCACCTTGACAACAGCACATCATTTGTCCCTCTCAGGGTGTTTGTCTGTTTGGTCTAGAGTCCCCAGTTTTCAAAGGTTTTATCATGTTTATGGTGTGGGTGGCACTGTTTACAGAGGGCCCACGGCTCACTTTGAATACTAATCTGTTGTAGCCCCCTGCTTCTTTAGATCACATAGGTTATCTCAGGGGTGGGCAAAATATGGCCCATGGCCTGGATCCAGCACACCGGGTGATTCTTTCCAGCACACAGCAGGTCCCTCAGCCTTGTCCAGTCCAGATGCAGGGGGCAGCCCAGGCCATGGTGTATGACTGGTCCCACTGTCCATAGGCACAGAAGTGCTGCTTGGCATGGAGCACAGCCCACCCTATCTCCACACATGGCTCTCAGGCACGCCAGGAGCTGTAGTCCATGGGGCTGGGTGGGGCGGGAGTGACATGGCAGCTGGACTCAGCTTCCTAGCAGCCCCTGTGGGAGTGGTTCGCTCTGCCCTCACACTTCCGGCTGCTGCTGCCAGTGTCTTCACCACCGCCGCCAGACCCTCCTCACTGACTGGACATCCCGGCCAGTCTGCCCCACACCCACCGCGGGGGGCTCCAGACAGAGTGGGCGGGTGGGCCCTCCAAGGAGACCGGCCCAGGACCCCCACAGGCAGGACACACTCAGCCTGCAGTGTCCCCGGCTGGTCTCCATGGAAACCCTGCCTGCCTGCCCGCTTACACACTGTCCGGAGCCCCCGACGGTGGGTGCAGGGCCAGTAGGATCAATTGGGATCTCTCTGTCCCCCTTTCCCCCCCACACTGGGTGGTGTAAACAGCTGTGATAGGGGGCTGGGGCTGGGGCTGGGTCAGCACCCCCAACCTCTTCCCCAGCCCTCAAGAACTCACCAAAACTTAAGTGGCCCTCTAGCCCAAATAATTGCCCACCCCTTGGTTATCTATTATCCACTGAAACAATCTGGCGCCCCTGCTACCTTGGTTACATAGGTTATCTATTCAATATCTTTTCCCATCAGCTAGAGAATTAGTTAAATGGCCCAAAACTGTTGTGAAGATGCCTTACATTCCCCAACAGGCACAGATTTTTTTTTCCATTCTTACTTTTGATTTTGTTGACCAGCTCAGTAGCCAGAGGGAGGCTAAGCCCAGCCCTCATTTGGTTCCTCTGGCTTGGTATTGGCCAAGCACTTAGCGCAACTCCTTGGCTCTTATCTATGGTATCTAGGATTCCAAGGTAGGCTCCCATCCCAGCACCATCCAGCCTGTGTGTGAGCTGAACTGTCATCTACCCTTCTCCATTTCTCCCAACTAGGGATCCCTGGGATCCAGGAGCGGACGCTGGTGGCAGTGAAGCCAGATGGAGTGCAGAGGAGGCTGGTCGGTGATGTGATCAAGCGCTTTGAAAGGCGTGGGTTCAAGCTTGTGGGCATGAAGCTGCTCCAGGTACCTGCCTGCCCATGGGCAGTTGTCTTATTCCATAGGACAGCCTGGTTCCCCACCCAGCAGAGGCCAGGGATGTGACTGGATAAAGCAATTCACAACTCAAAGCATGGACTGGACTTTACTGCTGGGTGTGTGGTTCTAACAATGCTAGCCTGTGCCCAACAGTTTGGGCAAGGCATGTCTGTCTATCATTCCCTAATGGGCCCAGCTCTGCCAACACCCCTCACACCTGACCTTCACCATCTCCTCCTCTTCCCCCAGTGCTGAGCATCCAAACTGACCAGCATCCTTGTTATCCAGCCCTGTCCCTCCCTACATCCCCTCATTCTGGCAATGTACCACTGTCCAGACCCTCAGTAGCCCACTATTCCAGTTCTGAGTCTCTTTTCCCCCATGCCAAATTTATTGCAATGACTTGCATCCTTTATTATTGAAATCTTGCAAACCCTATAATGCCCCTCAATGCCAGCCTTAAGTACTCACTACTGTTTCTGGCTTGGTTTCCCTCACAGCTTTGGCAATGCTCCACAGTCCCAAGCTGCAGCCCCTTGATATTATAGCCCTGGGCTCCCCCACATCTCTGGTGATGTTCCTTTCTCTTGGCTTGATGCATCCTTGCTGATCCACTCCAAAGCACTTAAAGCCTGAGCTGCTTGTTGCTGTGTGCAGCTGCTTTGTATCGTGAACATGAGAGGTTATGCTGATTTCTGACTCCTCACACTGGTGATTTTACCCAAATGTAAGCCTGTCTTTGCAGTGATGAGTCCTGTCTCCAGTAAAGTAACCTTTCCCCAGTAAGTTCCAAATGCCCACTCCACCACTGGGGACTTAGGGATTGGTTAGCTGGGATGGACACAAGGATGTAAACAGGGAGACCATGTTCATGCGATGGGGTAGAAGAGAACTAGGTCGGAGCTTAATCTCCAGTGTAAGCCCAGGTTCCTGTGGGGAGGGAGGCAGGAAAGAG